AGTGTATCTTACCCCTGAGTCACCTGGCCACCACACCCTCTGACTTTGTAGATGTATAAATTGGAAAATAATCCTGCCAGACCTTCGTGAGCGAGCGCATGTTTTGGGAGCTTGAAAGAGAACCGTGGTGGAAATGTACCAGTACGTTGATAAGGCAGCACAGCTTGTCCCCACCATAATGGACAATTTTGTCGTATGCGTAGCAAAAGTGTTGTTGGCAGGGTCGTTGGAATGAGTGAGCCGGTGGAGCACTGGTCGATGTTTATTAGCATAGCTGAGCCTGCTGTGTCTCGACGACTGTGGCTTTTTGTGAAGTCGCTTCAGATGTATACGACGTACGAAAGCATTAATTTTTTGCGGTCAACATTGACTTATAAAATGACATAGGTGAGACATCCATCAATGGTTTTAATTACGATAAGTACAGAAACGATTTAAAAAGAAGCTCGCATTGTATCCAGCTAAAACGTATCGCTTACAAGACATTTGGTCGGCTTCATGAGTAATTTTGCCGAGTGTGTGGCGGCGGTACGTGCAAACTTAATGGCTTCATGGCCAATAGGCAGCTGTCTTCATTAACCTGTCTGGACAGGCTTGACCTTTATCCATGCAACAACAATAAAAAAATCAAAGGGAAAAAAACTCCACGTGATTGCCAGCCATTATCAGCAACACACAGACCCGAGCTGCTGTGGATCGATGAGAAACTTTATAAGTGATGGGCTGGTGTTTACGTATAAAAGGAGGCCAAGGCCGATTGCTAGGAATTTTGTGTTGTTTTAATTAAGGAAGGCGAGTAGTTTTAGTTTAGATTTTTTCACGTTTTCCCCACGATGCCCTTGGCTCAAAAAAGTCACGCAGGTGTTTTTGTGGAGGGGAGATTCGGGAGCTCTGTTATCGACCCTCGGGTGTCCTCGCAGCCCGGCTCCCACGTTGGGTGTCGCTCGTCGCCTTGTGGTTCTTTGTCAGCTTAGGGGCCTCTCACGCTTGACCTTAATGGAGAAAGGCGCGTTAATAGCAAATAAAGACGTCCTTCCAAACTCTACCAAGTACAGAACTTTTTGATCATTTAGTTATTTACAGCGACGATCAATGGTGCGACCATTTGTAACCTGACATTTAAAAGTATCAGCGCTGAATAGCGGTGCTTTATTTTTATTTTGCTTAACAACTGGTCTGCGATCGAGTTGACTGTTTTTAAGAAATATCCACTTTTTTAATGAATGGTTTTGTAACAAATGTAATTAATAATTTCCAAAAAACATCAGTAGAATAAATTGCTTCATATTTTAATTAACATTTTTATTCTTGGGGTCTTTCGGTAAAGCCACGTATATAGAAAAATAATCATTTTCATTAACACCGATTTATTTTGGGTGTTAGAATAGGCTAGCATCCACCACGCCTGCCATTATGCCAGATTGCATATCACTGACAGTCCAATTTCATCCTCTGCTTGTTAATTTTCGCATTGAATTACCAAAGCGTGCAACAAAAGTTGACGTTGAAATACCCGCAATGTCGTCCGCATGAGTAGATCACCGCGTGTGTGAGCCCGTAGACCAGACCTCAATTTTTGCAAATTCATCTCGGCCAATTTTCACGAAATAATTAACCGTCCCTGCACCCTCCGTAACTATGGTTATCCAGGACTCGTTTGCGCGGCGCTTAATGAATCTCAATTCACCGTCTACTTAAGTGAATGGAAGTTGATTGATGAAATACTCGAAAATAATTACCGCCGGCGCAGAGAGCCACGTGGCTCATTGTTTCCCTCTGCTGAATAGAAAGGTGCTCTCGATGCTCACCCACCCTGCTGTCTTTGCCCCCCAGCAGCATCGGACGACGTCTCGTTTTGCTTTTAGTCTTTTGACTGTACGCGAGCCGCCTCGGGGGCCGATGCCGGCCCCTCGTGTCGCACTGAATGTATCGCCCTCTTCCGGTCCTCCAGATTATTTAGATTATTGTGCTGCTGTAGATGTCCAAATGATGGGCCACTTTTATTGAGCTGTCATTTGTAATTCTAGATTTGAAGCTTTCGTGACTGCAAGGATTCATACTCTTAGTTTTTTCGGTAAAGTCACGTAGGTAAAAAAAAAATGAAATTAAAATTAATGAAAAATAAAATAACGTCGTGATTTTTATTATTACATTTTTATTAAATTTTTTTTTTTTACCTACCTGTCATTTGTAGCCAGGTAGCTTCTGAGAAACAAGTGCATACTTCAGTGGGCTTTGCCTGGTGGGATGGGGATGGTTTAGTTTTATTTGTATATCTTTGGGTGATTTAATGACCTTTATTGTACTTGACACTACTAGCATGTTTTGTATTGTTGTTGTAACGCTCTTAGCCACCGCTACTGGACATCTGTGAAAAAGAGCTTTATACCTCATCGGATTCCTCCTGCAGTATAAATAAATATTCTGATTCTGAATGCAATTTGCCCACAGATCAACGTGAGCATTGCACGTCGCCCTCGCAGCCAACTGAGCCAAGCCTCGGAGCTTGAGGTTTGTCATGCTCGTTGAAATCCGGGCGGCCCAGATGATCTCAAAATTTGCAAATAGTTGAAACTATATTGAGTAACGAGCCTTAAAGAAAGCAACAACAAAAAACAGTGGCAAAAATGAACGCAAAAAATGAATGTTCGTTGCTGCAACAAATTTTTTTTTTCCCCTCTCGCCATTTGACTTTTATTTTTCCTTCCGCAAATGACCCCGGGGGGTAATTTCGGCGTCGGTCGTTGCCATTGAGGTAATTGGTTATGGCGGAGGAGGAGGAGGGGGGGTGGGAGGTAAGGCCTCGCGGGGGCACACGCTCTCCCGAGAGCCCCCCGTGGGGGGGTGGTGGAGGGGGCCACGGGCCAGGGAGTTCTGCCGCGAGTGTTTACACTGGGCGAGCAGGTGAGAGCACGGAGCACACACACGCGGTGCGGCTTTGTGCTCCGTATACCGTGGCTGGAATTGCTTTTCATGGCTTGTGGGAGAGTGGTGCGGGGAGGGGGCGTCAGGGGGGGGGTGGGGTGGCGGTAAGAAGTAGATGGAATTATGGGATGAACCACTGAGCTGTCAGAACCTAGTCTCCTTTTGGAGTTGTTCGATTTAAATTCAGCACACCTGGTCCTGTCCTGCATTTCTAAGCTGGACGACTTGAATTTAAAATCGGCACTATTTTAAAGTATTCACACTCGGCTGGAGTGTCGTAACGAGAAATGTTGAAAATTTGCACTTGCCAGAACTAAGGAATGGTATTTTTTAATAGTGACATTGATGGAACCCTCATCTCGATCAGCATAAAGAATCCTTTTGCAACAGAATCCGATAAACTGACATGGTTTTGTTGCTTTCAAGAGAGATGAGGGCATTGAGCTGGTTTTAAATATTCAAAAGCACTTTTAAATTGGAAACTGGTATAGTGGTTATTGCACTGTGCTTTGAAACTGGAAGCTAGCGCCTTGAGTTTGATTCCCAACCACAGCTAACATCAATGGCGAATGATATCTGAACCAATCTGCCCACTACACACCCTCCCCACCCTTCACCAACCAACACTCACCAGCATGCTAAAGTATGATCAAACCCTCCCCCCCCCCCCTCCGCCATGATCCATACGACACGGGAAGGTCTTCATCCATGAAGTGTATTGACAAAGAGGTGCAAAAAGCAGCATGTAAAATTTTCCTAAAAATTACGGAAACGTTTCCAACCTTTGATATTGCGTCGGTGTACTTTTTATGGACTTGGATGAAATTGTACCAAGCTGGCTAGAAGCTAGCCAGCTATATGGTGCACTCAAGCATATTAGCGAGTGCTGGTACAATATCATCTTCAGTGTGCGAGTTTAGTCAGATCTCAGAAGCTAAGCAGAGTGAGACTGGTTAGCATTTGGATGGCAGACAGTCTGAGAATGCCAGTTGGCCAGGAGATGAAAGTACAGGATTGGATTCTTGAATTTATTTGAGTGTAATCCCCTTTCTAAGCGTGGGTTTTAGCCAGCTACCCCCTGATTTACCCCCAGATTTCCTCCCACATGCTAAGCACAGCACTCGTAAATGTAATTGGCCAAACATACCAACACAGAACGATTCTGTAAAAATCTCAATCAGACTTAAGTGAGGCTCTCCGAGTAAAATACTGGGCGCTGTTATGATTGCGTCGCACGTTTACGAGACATGGCAGTGGTCTGCGGAGCCCTTCATTCAGCAGTAAGTTAATCGTAGCTGCAGATGTTGATGATGATGAAGATTATTATTCAGACTAGCCTTTTGCCCGTCCAAGGACGGGTGTATTGCAGTAAATCTTAAACTTGCAAACGAAAAGCAGACCGCGACGTGATATGTTCATTGCATCAATTCGTGTGCAATTTGTAAGGCCGCGGTGACACAGACCTATTTAATTTTAAGGTTTTAATCCCTTGTTCATGTTCATCACTGACGTCCTTTTTAATTGTATGTCTCAATAGCGTTACGGAGATCACGTGACGTGAGGGTTCTGCCTTTGTAGTGACGGGTTGTAAGTTGACGCCGAGGACGGGAGGAGGAGGCGCCTCGCCCCCCCATGTGGAGTGACGTCACCTGCTAATTATATTAATGGCGGGGTGGGGGGTGTCCATTTGGAGGATGTCACTTGTTCATGATTATTAATGAGAGGGGCTGTTTGATGTGGAGTGATGTCACCCGCTCATGATTATGAATGAGGGGTGGTGGGGTATCCATTTGGAGGACGTTACCTGCTCATGAATATTAATGAGGGGGGATGGTCGATGTGGAGTGACGTCACGAGCGTTAAGGACATTCCTGAGTGATTATAGGAGGTATGTCACCACCCAAGTTTCAGCGAATGAAGGCGTGTTTGGTGGTGTCAACTCGGGTAAACACATTATTAATGCGGCACAGGGCACGCATCTCAGGAGGGCATGCCTAACGGTCTACGTCTGTGCTGTTGTGCAAAGACTAATATCACATTGACTTTTTCTGTCTCCCGTCTGGTCTGCGCCACAGGTGGAGGTGTACAGGAGGGACTCCCGAAGGCTGCCGGGTCTGGGAGATCCGGACATCGATTGGGAAGAAACTGTTTACTTAAACCTCATCCTCCAGCGGGTGTGTAAATTAGATCCAGTGAAACTTTCACAACCAGGCACGTTTAAGTTGGCCGCCGCATGCTTTGAAAACATTGCACGGACACGCAAAAAAAACTGAACGTAAGCAAAACGTCACTGCTGTTCTCTGGCAGTGGCAATAGCTTTTATATATAAATACTCATTAATTGGCTAAAAACATCTTAATATGGAGAGGACTGGAGAGTTTGTACAGTTTTTGGTAGTGCGGGCTCACCGCTTGACTGTATCAAACTAAACATAAACATTATATTGTAGATACACACACATATGTATTGTATGTCCTGGGGTGCCCAACTTGAGGTTTAAGCGTCATTACATCTATTTCCCTACTAATTCAACTTCAGGCCCAGATAGGACAGCCCATGATGCCTAGATTAGGTACGAAGCTTCACGATGAAAGCTATTCGTTTTTTTGGGAGGGGGTGATTTATTTTTCTAATGAATGGTGGCACCACTGCGTCGGTATCCGTGCGGCAGAGGTCGCAAACGGGTTTTGATTCCTTACCCGTACCCGGCCGCACCAGGGTCGCAAATGGGTAACCGTACCCGGCTGGGTACGGGTACCCGTTCCTTACCTACCCGTACCCTACCCGAAATGAGTGACAAACGGTTACTCACCAGTGACTCACGGCCTACCCGTACCCGTACCCGGCCGCACCAGGGTCGCAAACGGGTACCCGTACCCGACCGGGTACGGGTAGCCAGGTATCGGGTAGGGTACGGGTATTGGGTACCCGGTTGCGACCTCTGCCGTGCGGTCTAACCCCGAACGCTTGTGCCTGCTCCTCGCTGCTGCAGTTCGAGTACCTGGTCACAGTGCGCCGTCTGCACCCGACCGGACGGCGGAGACATTCACATCCACCACAAAAAGTCCCAGGTGAGAGAGTCATCGGGCGTCGTTGGACATCGCCAGAACGACGATTACGCTCGCATAAAACTCGGGAGCGCCCACACAAGCGCCGGGGTGCTTTTCACTTGCGCCAAAGCGTGTAACGGTGCAGTCGCTTCCGTCGGTTGGAATCGGTTGCTGCCAGCCGCTCGACTCGAATGAGTGAAAGAGTCAATTATTTACGTCTTGTACACAAGTGCTACGCTCGTGCTACATTGGTGCGAATGGTGTGAATAACATTGTGCAAACGACACAGAAATAAATGAGTATAATTTTTAGTGATTACAATTTTTTTTTTTAAATCGCAACCCTGAAATCCTGACTATTAATCGGATCGCTATGGCAAGTGAATAATTTCATGTCTAATCTACACAGAGCAGCCTGTTCGTCATTAATGGCTAAATTTGTGATTCCTGTTTTCCTTTCTTGGCTGTGCATATTACAGTTTGATACATGTAGTTTAAACTTTAAAAGCGCAACCCAGCTGCATGCGAATTCGCAGATTAGGCGGCCTATTTGGCATGACAAGGAGCAACCGAGACCGACTGCCAGCCATAATTTCTGCAATTAAGATGCCATTTCATACAGACAGTTTAATAAATGGTAATTGTACGATGTCCTTACGGATTGAGTAAATGCACGATTGTCCCCAGGTGAGCAGTTAAGTCTTGATCAAGCTTTTATCGTGTTATTTTTGTATGTCTGTTTAATGAAGTCTGCCACTTGCTATTGAGTCTGGCACTCTCTATTGAACGATGCTGTGCTTGGCGCCTTAGCTTTTTTGCCGGGGATGGGAATGTTGTGCTGCTGCTGCTCCTCTCTAGAGTCAACGAGTGCAAATGGTTCAAGCAGTGCTATTGATCTGCGGATGCAGGTTAAGCTCCCCGAGTTCTAATCAAGTGCATAATCAACTGGATTCTCAGAGGTACTACATGGCATGGGGCAATTTCGCTGTGACCTTCTGAAAGTCCTGAGATGATGGGCTTGTTTGTCTGGCTTTTGTAGCCCTTGCCCTCTCTGCTGTAAACCTCTTTTTTTTTCAGCAGCAGCAGTTTTATAATCTATGCAAACGATGGGTGAATGCTTCATGTAGGCCAGTGGAGTGAACAACACTGTACAAACAGGATGCAAAAAAAAGATAAACCATTCAAACGAGGCGGCAGAAAGGAGATGGACAACAAATGTGTTCTTAATTTGAATTTTAACCAATGTTCGTGGACTTCCTGGGTGCGTAAATTGAGTACTAATCAAGTGCGCAATCGACTGGATTTTTAGTGATGCCAAATGGCATTGGGATGTATCAGCGTGACCTCTGAAGTCATGTGATGGGCTATTGCCTGGCTTAAAGCCCTCGTTGTGTCTGCCCTAAGCCATGTGATTTCAGCAGCACACACCAAAGCAGCATTACTTGTAAGTATGAAATCGTTACATGCTGTTGAGTAAGCGTACCAAATGATGCATCGATGTATGAGTTAATACCAGTTCTCACTTTAACACGTAGGACTTTCACGACCTGTATTATTCATAGTAAAGGTTTTTGGTTTCGTTTGCGTTATAATAAATGTGTCACAACCCTCCACCACCCGACACTGGCCAATCCGTAAAAAATGTGTCACGTTAACAAAACGCCAATTAGTTACTTCTTCAGCTCACCGGTGTGTTTGAAGAGTGAATCCACAACATTTAGAATTTGAGTACGACGTTTCGCTGGTAATTACATCCAGCATCTTCGTGCGATTTTCCAGAATAGTGAAGCCATCCACCTGCTTCCGGTCTTAAATAGTGCAGGATGACGTCATCATTGGTGAACCCCATCAGGTTTCGAGATCAGAGGCGGAGGTGCGGGGGTGGGTTATTGCAAAAGGATAGATTGCTGCTTGGAATTGTGACTCCCGAATCGTAACAGCTAGTGGAATCACTGGGTAGCTGAATCTTTAAAGGCATACTAATCAGGCTTTTAGGTCTAGAATAGTTAAGTTAATGTATTATCACAAGTCCTGCTAGAAAGTACAGTATTCTTCTAAAAATAATAACATTTAAAGAAAACAATGTTGTCTTGTGAACTATTGGACATTTTCATGAGATGAACTTGATTAATAACGTACCCAAAAAAAAACTTAGATTTTGCAGTTTAATTATTTTTTGTTAATCGAATAAATTACTAGGTAAAATTGCACACTCTATAATTGAAAGATGGCTGATTAAGCACCCGTCTGTTCTTTAACAACGCCTCCATTTTTTGTTGCAATTCTTGAGGGAAATCCCATTATCTTGAGACGCTTACCCAATTTCTGTGACTTGAGAGTCGAGCGTTTCCTGTGATAAAATATTTATGGAAATAAATTATATATCAGTGGCCCACAGCCATACGCAAGGCTTCTCCGGCAATCACTGGTTCACAATGTTTCTCTATCTATTACACATTCTCATTCTTCACCTCCACAGAACAGTCAACGTGATTGGATTCATAGCACGTTGATAAGAGACGTTTAACGTAAAAAAAAACCACACACTATTTTTTTTTCACCGTTTGACTACGTTTCAAATGGTTTTTTTGGTTTGTATATAACGCAACTCCTTTTTGAGTAACAATGGCAAGCGTGTAAATTTGTTTCGCAGGGTTTAGAAGCAGAATACGCTGGAAATGCCACTGCTGTGTGTGGTGTGTGCGCTCGCTCACCTGTGATTGGGCACCGGCTTGAGGTTCAGATGGTGTTGCCATAGCAACCCGGCTGCGTGGGCGGCAAGAGGGTCGCTTGGGAAGAGGGATCACAAGCGGAGTTTCTAATCTAATTCGACTCGTCATCATCCCACCTCCAGCAGCTCACTAAATGCAGGCAGGGGAGAGGAAAGCGGTTGTGTAGAGTGAGGAGCGGTCGTGTCGCGGTTAGCGCGCTGCGCTACGAACCTGGCAACCCGAGTTTGATTCCCGCTCATGGCCAACACCGGTGACGATTATTATTTGAACGGGTCCTGGGCCTCCCCTAGATCGACTCAACCTCAAATGAGTACGGGCCTTCATAGGTGCTCGCTAACAGCACTTGCTATACGGGGGATCTTTGTGGGGAGGAAAGGATGACAGTGTTGAGTGTCACTGAACAAAAATTAATCCTTTGTTTCGCAGGTGGGAAGAGAAAAAAATGCATCTGATGTTTCATTTTGTTTTGTACGCGAGTTGTATTTCCCACAAGTTGAAGTGGTATTTTTTAACGTTTTTTTTTTATCACAATCCACCCCGCTGGGTTGTGTGTTTGTGTCCGGATGTGCATTAACCGTCTGATGTGGGAGTGCGATTTATGGCCGAGTCACTAAACCATTGAACTATCCCTGGCAGGGCAATGCCGATACCTTGCACTAGCGACATGTGCGAGCTGGAGTTTGCAGTGCTCGACCTTGCCGTAGAGGATCGGTAAACGTTGCGCGCGTAATGACGCGTCTGTCCCCGCATTAACGTTCGATTCTAAAGCTCGCGATGCATGCATAAAATTACGGGCACGAGAATACATTATTTATCGCGCATCCAATTTATATGCAAAGCAGAAGCAGATGTGTACGCAGCAGAACTGTACAAATAAAGCGCGCAGTTTATTCAACGATAAAAATGAGATGCAAAAAAAGGACACGGCATGTTTTAATCGTATTCGCGAACCCATATCGTGACAGTTGACCGACGTGAATGAATCGCCACATTCCTCGTCAACGGAGACACTTGCCGCTCTCACTGTCTCTCTTACAGCGCCGTTAAGAGCCTCCGCCGGTCCACCCATTGCCATAATAGACATGCGTTAATGGTAATGGGCAGAGGTGTGGACTCGAGTCATGTGACTTGGACTCGAGTCAGACTCGAGTCATGAATTTGATGACTTGAGACTCGACTTGGACTTGCATAACAATGACTTTGTCCCACCTCTGAGGTGTGGACTCGAGTCATGTGACTTGGACTCGAGTCAGACTCGAGTCATGAATTTGATGACTTGAGACTCGACTTGGACTTGCATAACAATGACTTTGTCCCACCTCTGGTAATGGGCCCCAAATAACTCGCAGGGCAATGCTTCACGTATGACGAAAGAGCTTTAATGCTCGGCCCGCAGAGCCTGGACTCGCTTGCCGGGCGGATGCGGGCGCCTGACTGGCGGCAGATAGGGGACCGCTTCCTGTAAACGAGCGCACCAAGCAGCGTGTCCCCCCCCCCCATTCCCTCCAGCCTGCCACGGCACCTTGAACCATGCGCGCCCTGCCGAGAGAGGAAGAGCAGATGGCAGCCCCCCCCCCGATCTCAGAGTGCGTGGTGTCGCTCTGGCACGAGCTGTGTGCGCCGCTGCTGCAGCGACTGCGAGCCCTTGATCTGGTGTGAACTTAAACCATAAAATATGATGAACTATAAACAATTTTTTATTTTGCCAGGTAAGAGGCCCACTGAGCTGAATGGCTCTTTTTCAAGAAGCGACCTGGCCACAGATGATAGCTCGGCGAAGTGGCTTACCACTTGGAAATTTATAGCAGCCAAACACTTTAAACGCTTGTTTATAAATGTAGAGGGGAAAACCGGAGGACCCGACGAGAAATCCACGCGACCAGGGGGAGAACATGCAAACTCCAAATATACAGGCGTCGGGGTCGGGATTGAGCCCACAACCTCCTACATACCAGGCGAGGGAGTTCACATTTCGCCACGGAGATTACGGGTCTGATGAAATCTGGGGGAGACTGATGCTGCCAATGACGATGCCACTGTTGGTTCTGCAATTTTTTTCTTTATCGTGGTTGCAGCGTACAGGCCCAAACACCCAAAATGCCGAGCGGCTAGCAACAAATGGCACATTTGAATATGCAATAGATAAGCGTTAATACGTTTCTTGAATTCCTCGACGACAAAAGGACACAGGCCCGCTGTCATAATGTAGCCCGGTGTTAAGATGCTGTTGGGCAGATGCTAATGGGTCGTTTGCAATAATTTTTTTCAAAGCATATGCGCATTATAAAATTTATTTATTAAAACCTACCCTGTAATGGTGTAACATTAATCTAATTAACTTATGCTGCAGCGATTGGCCATTGAGCTAAACAATTTAAATGGAAAGATAGTGGCTAAAGTATTTCCTTGCTACGATTTCATTGCATGTATTATTAATCTGGCACGGATGTGGCTATTTGTTGAAGTGACATTGCATCGCTTCACCGTCTTAACACGACGCATCTCGATTGCCTACCTTTCTCTGAATCGTCCTTTATTTTTACCATTTATTTGAAGGCTGATGCCTGGTGGCGCTGAATTCTTTTGTGTGCGCGCATAACAACATAAATCGATGCGCGTACTAAACTATTACCGCATTTACTGTTACGTAAGCAGCTGCGCTGTACGTGTGTGTCTCTTTGTGTTTGTGTTCCAGCGAGTTTTTGCCTCGCCAAGCAAGCACAGGATGGACAGCAAGGGCGAGCAATCGGAGATGAGCTACCCCAACATATTCTTCATGATCGATAACTTTGATGAGGTGCGTCTCTTCGCGAGGAGGTTGTCGGCCGACTCATTACGCTGCGCAAATTTCAAACGTGTGCTGCTTTCCCGCGCTTTGGCGGTTGCGATTGCGAAAGGACAAAGCTGTAGCAGAGGCGTTGGAAGGTGACCCCGGGTGGAAAGGGTGCAATGCATCTGTACTTGTGCCTCACATCAGAAATGTTTCTCCCCTGAGGCCAATGCACCGCCATTTCGCCAGTGGCTTAAGTCCATTTCTCTCCCGTCAGCTTTTCAGCAATGAAAATGAGCCCACGTGCTTATGCAATTTCACAATGCCAGTGATGAAAGTGTGAAGGTTTTTGTGAGAACAAGGCACCGCCGAGACTTTCGCCCCAAGATTAAAAGCACAGCCACTGCTGGTAAACGAAAGTGGCTTCTGCACTGCACATGTGTGTTTCTTCGAGCTGATACCCAGTCGTCGTGGGTATGGTACAAAAGGATTTTCTGTTGTGCTCTTAGTTTGTAATACAATTTGGATCGAGCATCCATATGCAACTACATCTCAAAACCCCGCATAAATGGTCGAACGTGCGCATCACAAGCACCCTTGAAAAGGGAGGCGTATGTTTATGCTTTTAAGGTTAGGTGCTGTTGAAAGCACTTCATGTTCAGGAGACGGTCATTGGAAAAGATAAAAGTCTTGAGTCTGGACTTGAGCAAGAGGGACAGGGAGTTTTTACACCACAGATGGCCTGGGGGAGGGGAATTCCGGATGGTAGGTAGCGCGACCTCTTAGTTTACAACCGCAACATTGCTGGAGAGAGATGCTCGGGCCGTCTGTAGCCAACCGTGCTAATCGGAGGTGCAGGGTGAAAGACAACAAACTAAACGCAAGAAGTTCTAAGGAAATTCGTTTTTTAATCTGGAAGATGTAAAAGTGCATAGCTCCCCTTAATATCGGAAGGTGCTGGTGACGAGCAGCAGATCGGCGTTACGTTTCCCCCCCGCGCGAAACAAAGTGAAGCGTGCTCCCGCCAAGGGTCTTCTCCGTGGGCATTGCGCCGCTCGCGTCGATTGCGGCGTGACAGCCTTCGCCCCCTGCCGCCGCCCGCGGTGCACCGTGTCGGGGCGCCCAATCCAGACCGGGCCGCGGAGCGACAGTGAAGCCGCACTTTGGTGTTTTCCCCCCTCCCCCCCACCCCCCTGTGGTCACGTGGATTTTTCTCCGAGTCCTCCTCCGGTTTTTCCCCTCCACATTTGGAATCCACGTGCGTTTAGAATATCTGGCTTACTGCTGTACATTTCCACGTGATGATAAGCCATTGCGTTGAGCCGTAATTTGTTGGCCAGGTCGCTTCTGAAAGCGAATCTATATAGGCTCAGTGGGGCCTGACCTGGTAAAATAAACAAAATGTTTTTTTTGCGTCGTGCTTCGCCGTGTAATATGACGCACGCACAACGGGCACCTGGAGGCCGGCCAGCGTGTGCAAGATTTACAACCCTCTTTGGTTATTGCTGTACAAAAAAAGAGCTGAGCTGACATATCCTTGGCTGTGGGATTTACAGCCAAAATAGGTGGCTCCCCCCCCCCCCCATTCCTCACCCCCACTACCTCCGCAATAGTAAGTTACCACCAACTCCCATCCAACTCGTTATTTTATTTAGAGCTCTTAGCCAATCTTCAGGGGATGGTGTTTTACGGCCATTGCAAGGCAACTGTGTGTTTTACAAAGATAGATCGTCCTCCGAGCCGTCTTGGAGTTGTAACCTGCTGGTAACGACGCCCGAGTCCCGTGTTTGCCTGCTCAGCTTGGCTGAGCAGCACTTTGGGGTAATGCCGCGTCAAGACACAGAGCCGGCAACCACTGAGAACCTGGGTTCAAATTCAGGTAGCCACAATTATTAAACTGGTTTCGGAAGTTCAGCTCAATCACACACGAATACAAAAACAATCGTAAATAAATTATGTATTTATTTCCTTCTGTATATTCCAGCTCTGAGAATTTAACAAAAATATAATTTCGTCTTGCGACAAACACTTTTGGGAGGGCATGTTGATAGAATATTGTATACGGGTGTGGACATAAGAGATGTTTGGAAGGAGCTTCAAAGGCAGTTTTGTGACATTGTTCTTCACGGCCGTTTTCCAACAAGGCGGTGCTTACCGCTTGCTACGACGAATCCTATCGGAAATTCCTTAGTCCGATGACACGGCACCGACAATACAATTGTACTCGACATATGTGAACTACTGTACATCTGTGAAAAAGAGCCTTATGCCTTATCGGATTCCTCCAATATAAATATTCTGATTCTGTACGTAATTTTGAAAACAAAAACAGTTGTGCACATCCGCCTGTGAGCGATGTCACACCCTGCACGGCCATGCTCCTTACGGCCACCGCCATCTCCCCGCCCGCCCGCCGCGACCTTCCTTGTGCGAGCGAGGGGCCGTCGGGGCATGCACGCCGTGTGACGACGGGTGGCGCGTGCTCCTTCGTAGGTTTTCGGGGACATGACGCTGGAGGAGGGGGAGATGGTTTGCGTGGAGCTGGTGGCCAGCGACAAGCACAGCAGTTTCCAGCGGGTCATCTTCCAGGGCTCCATCCGTTACGAGGCGCTGCGCAAAGTCTACGACAACCGCGTGAGTGATTTCATAATTTGTGAATTGATTCATTGTTGGCTGTTCCACCCCCCCCCCCCACCTATTCCCCCATATCTGTGCCACTCACACACCTACGATTAGCACGGTTGGCTACGTACAGTATGAAAGAAGTCCAACATACATACCGATATCTTTGTGCCTCGAGCATTAACGCTGACCTCTTAAGAGTTCTGAAGGTGCCATAGTCTGGCTGGCTGAATCTCGTGCATTAACGCTGACTGTTAATCCTTAAAGTGCCTTCGCGTTGCTGTCCAAGCCTCGGGCATTAACACTGAACCCTGAAAATTGTAAACATGCCTTTGTCTATCTGAGTTTTGGGCATTAACACAGGAATATTAAAAATTCTCAAGATGCTTCGGTATCGTGTTAAGTGCCCTATTGTATCACATGTTTACCATGTGCGTGCTACGTTTGTCACTTTTTGATTTCCAGAAAATATTTATGAAATAAAACCAAAAAATTCTGCCAAGCGTCTAAAACATGCCGTGGGCCTTTTTTAAATGAACAGAACGTATTCATATGGATTGTAATTTATTTGTTTACCCATAAAAGCCTCAATTACGATAGATGAGTACCCAAGCCAAAGGGGCTTTTAATGTATCGTTGGAGTGATGCGTCACCCGTTGAATAATGATGTTGTCTGTACTTTGAAATGTGCGCGCGGTGTTGAATAATTATCCGTTGCATGAAAGGATACATTTTAAACAGAAAGTATAAAAAAAAATACGGAAACTGATTGCGACGTATCCTAATTGCAATGATTCATCAAGCAATATTGAGTCATAAGCTTATAATAAGTGCATTAAGTTATACATGTGAAATCTATTGTTTACAGCATGTGTAAATAATAGAGTTTACAGACATATTGTCGTCATTCGTTCAAAATTGCATCTGAAATCGCTGAGGAGCCACAGACAAAGCTAGAAGGTAGCAGCCAGGCGGTGAGCCGGCATCAACAGTTGCCGAAGCTTTGCAGTCCTCTATATATTAAGATGTTTTCGTCCAATTCATAATCCTTGATACCTGTTGCAAAGTATGAAACTGCATGAGAGAAAAACACGCGAAAAACAATACAAACGTGATGGTAAAAAACGAGACGTGAAATTGAATTGCGTCACGACGCTGAATTGTGACTTTTCATTGAATCCCTGCCTGATTGTAAAAGTCTCAAATCTGAATTTGCTGCACCTCTCAGTTCACTATAACCCACTGCGTGCAAGGAGATCTCACCCACTCGTCTGCCTTCTTGCAGGTGAGCATGGCTGCCAAGATGGCGCAGAAGATGTCGTTCGGCTTCTACAAGTACAGCAGCGTGGAGTTTGTGCGGATGAAGGGGCCGCAAGGCAAAGGTCACGCAGAGATGGCCGTGAGCCGCGTGGAGCTGGAGTCTCCCGGGGATGACGTCGATGGTGAGAATGACGAGGAAGACGATGACGAGGACGACGATGATGAGGACCGGGGGAGAGGAGGAGGAGGCGGTGGCGGCGGTAGACGTCACCGAGGAGGTCTGGGGGGCGTCTCCACCAGCTGTTTCCGAGCGCACGCTGAACGGGTGGGCAACACGGCACACCGCACGCCGAGCGGATGGGCACTGCGCAGCGCACACCACTAAACACACACCGATCACGCACCACTCAAACACTGCACATCAACCACACACCACCCACACACCACTGCCACTAGCGATATGGACTCTACGAGATTCTTGTTCGTGGCATTTTCCCTGCTCAAGTGGCATCTGCCTTCCGGGTCCTCTCTCTCCGCTCGTTCCTGTCCTGGACTATTTCTGCATCTCCTCTCCAGTCCTTGGCCCAGGTGCTTCCATGGTCGTCATCTTGCTTCCAATGCGTTTTTCCCCTCTTCTGACAACACTTCCATGCCATCTGTTAATGTCATTTACTCCCCGCTTGTCAAGCACGGGCGGCACCGCTCTGGCCTTCTTTCCCATTCTCTTACTTCCTTCTCGACTCATTTGCTGCATGCAACATCAACGGGCACGGCTTTGGTCTCTGCAGTGGAAAAACGACCCTGCTCGTTTGTACAATCGGAAAGCGGGCACGTGCTGAATCCGAGCCGTTTCCACGGTGGTCTGGCTTGCCCCCGTGGCTTAGGTGGCGTCCGTTAGCCAGCCCCCGACACCCGAGCGGCCGCGTCCCACCTTCTACTCGCCGTCACTGCGGAGGAAGCGCCCCGCCGAGCAGAAGGAGCTGAAGAAGTCGCACTCGGCCAACGACAGCGAGGATTTCTTCAAGCGCTACGAGGGCTCCGACACGGAGGAGTATCCGGGTACAGGAAAGCACCGTGTCGTCCAGCTTCCACGCACTTGCATGACCATGTGAACAGATTTATGTACATTACGAGTACAAAATGAGGCTGAAATTAAGCACCGAGTACAGCATTTGTCCTTCACGGCACTTACCCCACCAGTCAATCCAGGCATACTGGTGTATCCGTGTGTGTTTGTGCACGTTGTGCATGCGCATATGGGGAGCGGTAGTGCAGCAATTAGCGCACTGCGTTACGAAACCAGTGACCCGAGTTCGATTACCGTTCACGGTCAACATCCATAACAATTATCTGAGCCGGTCCTGAGCCTCCCCTAGGTCGACTCAGCCTAAAATGAGTACTTGGTGTGATGTGTAAACATTGCCACTGGGGAGACAAAGGCAGCTGGACGTGGTGCTGGCCACCCCCACCCCCTCGTGTGCCGTGCCGCCCATTCATAGGTGCTCACGAACAGCACTTGCCCCAATATTCTGTCAAGCCCATACAGGGGAATATTTGTGTTGTGCGTGCTCATGTGGGTGGGTTTCATTGCATCCGTGGTTGTGTGGGAACGCGGTCAGATGGGAAGAGCGGCACGAACCTGCGCTCGCGCTCGCTGTCGGGCACGAGCCGCTCGCTCGTAGGCTCCTGGCTGCGGCTGGACCAGCCGGAGGAGAGCTACATGCTGTACGCACACCTCACCTACGTCATGCTGCCCTGGCACCACATCATCGCAGGTCAGTGGGGCCGTGCCACTTTTGCCCCATGCTGTTTACTTGTCTGTCTCTTGAGCAAACAAACGCAGCGCGCCCTCAAAATAACCAGGGTGGATATGTCGAGCGGTGATGCGGCCCAGCGGTAGCGCGTTCGCTGCTTGTTGAGTTGGTTTTCGCGGCTCTGAACGGGTGGCCACCCTGATTAATACTAAAAAAAATTAACCCGTAAAAACAAAGTTTTTCACTATAAATATTTATATGCGTGGCGGCTAGAGTCCTCTCGTCCTCTGGCTTGAGATGGCTGACACCTATGGGTCAGATGATTGCCTGCCACCATTCAGCAATTGGTAATTAAATATAATTTATTTTTTCCTAAAAAGTGTAAAATTTTGGAGAAAAAAATTTCACGAAAATAAATTGTCACGCACAACGAGTCTGTGTGCAAAATGTCAGTTCGATTGGATCACGGGAAGTGGGTTAAAAAACGACTGAAAGATGTGCACGGTCGTAAGCGCGCAAGCAAGCAAGCAAGTGAACTTAATATAAAGGATTTAATAACTTTTAATTTTACTAGCTCTTTTTCAGAAGTGACCTGGCCATAAATGATAGCTCAACAAAGTGGCTTATCACGTGCAAATTTCTATCAGCCAAATACCCTCAACACGTTTCTAAATGTGGAGGGAAAAACCTGAGGACCCGGAGAAAAATCCACGCGACCACGGAGAGAACATGCAAACTCAAAATTTACAGGGGTCTGGATCGAACCCACGACCCGCGTAGCAGGCGAGGTAGTTGGCACCGTATCGATACTCGTCATCTGCTTCGCAGTGGATGTTAAATATCCCTTCATTTCATACGTAATTGTACACCAGCGTCATGGTCCAAATATGAAAAATTGCTCACAATTTACTCAGTTGGGATTATACATAACAATCGTCGTCTCCCTTCGCAAAAAAAATTGGCAGTATCCTCCTGAAACAGTCACTCGGTGAGGCTTTCCTAGATAAATGTAATAACACTCTGAATAATAATATCAATCATGATTTGAAGCTTTCGTGACTGCAGGAATCCATACTCTGAAGTAGGCTACTTCAGCAGTTTTTTCTTGCTGTGGTTGTCCCACCTGATGACGATTGTTGCGATCGAAACGTCGTGATCTATTATTTTTCTACCTTTGTGTAATAATATATATCGCATAATGAGGGCAGTCTTGGGTGGGATCCTGCAAATTGACAAACAAGATAAATTCTGTATATGGGTCAGGCAAACATGCTCTTTGTATTGAACCTGTGCGCACTGCCCAAATGTCTGTTGCAACTCTTTCCCCAGACATCCTGGAGGTGAGACAAAAGGCTATTCTCATGGTGTAAACAAAAAAAAAGCCGGATCTTTTGGACCAGCCCAAAAGATGGGATCGAGAAGATATGAAGGGAAACTTAAGACATTGGGTTGAGCCAGCCTCCTACAGACCCAAGTGCCTCCTCCACTGTGCTGGCTTACACACTCGGCCACCGACAATGCACTGGCAAGCGGACAGCTGCTTCTGGGCATCGCCTCGATGGTGCAGGGACCCACTGTGCAGCCAAGGAGTGGCTGCCTTTCTATTGCATAAACCCTCGCTCTTTCCGCAAGAACTACTGGGAAGCTTTGGATAAAACTCTTTTTAGAACCAACACACACAAAAAAAAACATTTGCTATTAAAAGTAGAAAATTTGTGACACCTTTTTTTAAGCAGTGGTCACAATTGTTCTTGCAGGGTTACGTTTGTGATCATTATACAGTAGTTGGATGACGGTGAGCAAACGGCTGACGCATTCATACAAATGACAAGATTAATGTGAAGAACAGCAACTTTGAATATGTTGAAGATGTTTCTTAAAAATGTTTTTTGCTGCTGCATCAGTGGTTTTTTTTTTGAGTTACATAATTAGAAGAAAAATAGGCTTCATCAGCATTAGGGGCCATCCATTTATTACATAAGCAAAAATCTGTCAAAATGTTACCCCCCCTCCCTGTACTTACAGGTACTTTTTATACCCCCCCACTTGCATACGTATGCCTGACGCACCCCCCTCCCCCCAATCCTAAAACGGCCAATATTTAATCCACGCAGAAACGATCAAGGATTAATAATATTAACGTGTTTAAGCAAACAGATAGTCCACACCGCCGGACTTTTTAACTAATTTGAAGGTCAATGTAGCCAAATTATTATCGAGGCTTCACCTGCCCCCCCCCCCCCCCCCCATTTCCTATGCGTACGCACATTTTCAGTAGACCCCTCCCCCCTCCATGTGTACGTACTAAATGGATGGCCCCTTACCGGTCTAATATTTCTGCCCTGGATCTATCATTGCATTCTGACGGGACCATTTTTTTGTGGTAGTAACTTCAAAGGTAGTTGACTCATCACAATACTGAAGCCGCATGCACAACTGCACATGCCTCAAAATGATGCAAGTGAAATGTTCCCAATTTAAAATAAATTCCGTAAAACTTAGCACATGCTGGAAAGCGGCTAAAATTGTTACATTTTACAGTCCTTGGTTGATTCATTTTTGTAATGAAAAGGTTGTTTGGTTTTTTGTGTCGACGCTACGTATTGACAATATACTATAGGAATTGTCTTAAAACACGTAATTTATTTGAAAGGGGATAGGTGCTACCTGATCTTTCTAATCACCAGCCTCGAAAATTCTATTAAATTATATAAAGTTTTTTTTGTGAAATGTACCGTTAATTTGTTTTACATCCCACGAGGTAAAACGGATACCGCTGGTGTAAAGATAAACAGCCATCGTAGATGTAATAAGCATTAGAGGGAGGATGCAGAATTTTATTGCAAAGCAATTCCATTGTTGTATTTGCAGTAGCTCTATTGCCAATCATCTCCATGCTTCATACCGCGTACAGCATGCCGATCGGGACCAACGCATCGACTTTGTGTGGCGCAAGACTTGACTTCTCACAAGGCAATATTCATCACTCGACAACACAGGCCTCCTATCCTCACGTCGCTGCTCATTACTCGTAAAGGAGAAAATCTCACGTTGGCAGTGTAATGCACCTTTATTAGCAAAACATGCACATGCTGTTAATAGAAAATAACCGTGGTAATTTTTACGTTTGCACAATGGTAGCTTCCGTTCACAAAGCAAACTCGCAATGTGGCTGTATTTATCGAACATTTTTGGTTACGGACACAAGCACCATTCTCTTCATGTAGACAGCCAGAGCCATCACATGTGAAGCAAGCATTTGGAAAACAAATCGACATGCTGTTCACCTTTGTCATTTCAAAATGTTGGCAACTTGTCAGTGGGGAAATGCTTCTAATGGGAAGGCTGGGAAAGATGCTGTGAATGGCTTAAATCACCGAACTCAAGTACCGTTCATTACAGTTACACTTAATTCATCAACGTGCCCTCAGCTGCTAGTAGATTGTCATTTCCTGAAAACATTTGAGGCCGGTTATAAACAATGTAGTGACAGCTTTATCGCCGCCGTAAGCACTGATCATGTTTTCATTGTAGTTGTAAGAATAATAAATGATCTCGCTAGCAAGAATTTACAGCCTCAACGTGGGTGCTTTTCACTGTTACATTTTGAGAACCGGATGAGGTTTGTTTTGCATGTGCAGCACGATGTAGTATTCAAATAATGCAGGATTTGTATTCAGTGTATGCAACGCGTCACGTGCATGCAAAAAGGTAGTCACTGCTGCCTTCTACTGGACGACCATTTTAATGCAAAGACGTTTGCCATGTAAACTTTTTGTACATTTCATAAGCGAATCTTACAAAGCGTTCATCACAGCCACCAGGGCCTACTTTAGTTGTTTACCATTGTGCATGCCAATAGTCGAAAAAATGTAAGCAATTTTTTTATCATTATGTAGTTACTCAACATTATCCGTGCAAATATGTTCAACATTGAAGGCTGCCGAGTGTAAAACTTACAAGTAAAATGATGCTTTTACATGGATGTATCCCCATGTGTACACAACACAGAATTGCCAAATGCAAATAAGAGGTTTGTTTTCAATTTTAATGAATTTTAAACCAAAATATATTTTTCTCCATTTGCAAAACTTAACAGTCCTTAACAGGGCTCACGGTCACTTGCAAACTCAAACCAGAGGATCGATTCATTTCATTCACTATGCCTTCTTATGCATTGTTGGCTCAGCAGTGTCATAAGCTCCTAACAATGCGAATAAATATAATTCGGTGAAAAATTCAAATTTACAAAAGGCACTTGGCTCAATGCACCAGTGAATTTCTATGACGGTGCCGATCCACACGTCTAGCAGCTGTATCCAAAGCAAACTCGTTTATTTGAAAAAGTTTGCGCCCAACATTCAGAATTTACTCCAGTAGAAACCAGTACACGTTTATTTTCTCCCAGCACAAACATTTACACGTTCACCTTAAAACGTGGCAAACCGATGAATGGAAAGATACCTGCAGGTTAACATCTCATTCACTGAATGCGTATGCACGTTATTCATTCTTTACGCACATGTACTCTTTTAGATGCACTCGGACAAGGGGTTAGGGGGGGGAACCTATGACTTGCAACTTCATAATACCCACAGCCTCATGAGGCCGACAACTTATAAACAACCCTCAAACGATAACTCTCCATCACGTCTTAGCAGCACTAATTGGGGTGCTAGAGGGGGAATACTTTCAATTTGGCAAGTCTTGTGTGGCCCCTTCCAAGATAATTTGAAAGTTTTATTTGGCCCTCAGGAAATGGTTACCCTGTCCCTTATTCTATTTCTACTTGGCCAATCCACATGTTATGTTCTGTGTTATTGGATAACACTATGGTGGGAAAATGTGTCCATCAAAGATCACTTAAAGTCATTCAGTCCTCGGTAAAGAAAAGATTTCCCACCCCTCATATCGTCAACATATTTTTTCACGTTAGGTAATGCAAACACGTGAGAACATGCAGCCCCTGTCAAAAGTTCCTGTTTTGTCCTCAATGGAAGGCCCCCCCCCACCCCTGCTGTATACTCGCAATGGGTCGACACGTTAACTTTTCCTGCTATTATTAGATGACGCCAAGGTAGGTGTGTCTGTTAACATGTGGCCCGACAGAATTCTCGAGTCCTGTTCTGCCCTCGGTATGAAAGAGGTTCCCCCACCCACTGGCCTGAACAAACGGTGGGAACTGCAAATCTGCACAGGAAACCGACAGAGCACTCTCCATGCATACGCGTACACACGCCTACACACAAACGTGACAGCAGCTACGAGCCCTTTTTGTCGTCGATAGCGCGGTGAAGCTCGTCGGCGTCCTCGCCCGTCTTCACGCGGATCAGCATGGGGACGACGGCGTCCTTGCTGCCCTCGTCCACCGGCGGGTTGGGCACGCACATCAGTAGCACGTTCTTGCCCGTGCGCGTGCACATCATGGACGGCTGCAGCAGCACGTTGAGCAAGATGTTGCCTGCAGAACGAGAGAACAAGCGACGGGCAGGAGGTCAAGGGGCCAGACCGTGGAGGAATGCCAAACCCACCAATCTAGATTAAAAATGTCACTTTTGTACTGGTAGGAACCTCCTGGTTACACCACCCCACAAGGGATTATTGTGTCCGTCCGTCGTGCATACAAAAATGGGAGGGGCTGGGTGGAAAGGGGAGGGTGGGGAGGGTGGGGAGGGGCTGGGTGGGGAGGGGAGGGTGGGGAGGGGCTGGGTGGGAGGGTGAGGCTGGGTGGGGGGTGGGAGGGGTGGGGAGGTCACCCTGTGGTGCCCTTATAAAACTCAACGTTTAACCTGGCTTGTGCCCGCCCTCAAAGTCGGCCATATTTGCGGAATACACCACGCCGCAGTTGACCCTGGCCATTGACCGAGCAACCCAACGTTCCTACCAGCTCCCTCCGCAGGAATGTGTTAACTCCATGTACTGGTACACAGCCCTTTTGTCAATCAAGTGAAGCACAAGGGCCTCTCCACGTCGGGAGGGGGTTGTAAGAATGATTTGATCATACTTCGCTCCACTTGTCAGTGCAGGTTGGTCAGGCACAGTTGGCTACGTACAGTGCGAAATAGTTATAAATAAATACAATCTGCGTATTGTGGTCACCCATTCGTGCTCTACCCATGATCATCCCCCACTTAGCTACCAAGAACCGATAGCACTAAATGCATTCCAGGTTATTTGGTCATAGGCAATTTTGTAAATTCAGAGTCAAGGATACCTACACAATGTCTAATAGGCATGGAGCAATTCCATGAATGTCATGATTCTAATGTTGCAATATATCACTCTTCAACAAATTAATAATTTTCGTTAAACCTGTAATTGGCCACGGGGGTCATGAATTCGAAAACACTCAATTCTCATGCACACAATTTGATACCTGTTGTGAGCATAAGAATCGATTTTTATCAAATGCATGGACTATTCCATGACTAGTATTTGATATGCACAATTTCCTTACAACAATGCGAACATATGCCAGCAGTTAACGGGTTTTATAATTTCGATCTTCAATGTGATAGGATTGCATTGGCTGCGCTTTACTAATAAGTCCAGACATCTCTACTTTCACCACCTTCATTTGCTGTGCAATATTGATTTTAACCGATAACCACAGCGTCGCCTGCTTAATCCAAATCAGATTTCGGCAATTAAATTACAACGACGAAGCTAAAAACCGGGGTGTCGTTAGTGGTCATCACCGACTCCTAAGTTCTGACTCGTCACTTACCCAGGCTGGTGTCAGCTCGGATCAGAAGCTGGGTCTTTTTGTTCTCCATCGGCTTCAGGTGCAGCATTCCCACTCCTTTCTCCTTGAATTCTTCACCCTTCTTGTAGAAGAGCTTACACCTGGGAAAGCACATGCGCAAGAATTGGCACTTTCAAACAGATACATCACCGGGGCTCTTTGGAAGACAAATGTTCAACGCAAACCGTTTGAGATGTAGTTATATAAAACTAGCCTTTTGCCCGTCCAAGGACGGGTGTATTGCAGTAAATCTGAATTTTGCAAGTGAAAAGCAGAACGTGACGTGATATTCATTGCATAAATGCGTGTGCAATTTGTAAGGGCGCGGTGACACAGACCTATTTCAATTTATGGTTATAATCCCTTGTTCATCATGACACCTCGGCCCCCATGTGGCGTGCCGTCAGCCGCAAGTTATTATGAATGGGGTGGGGGGGGTGTACATTTGGAGACCTTATGATTATTAATGAGGGGGGCTGTTCGATGTGGAGTGACGCCACATGCTCATGATTATTAATGAGGGGGATGCTCCATGTGGAGTGATGTCACCTACTCATGATTATTAATGAGGGGTGGCGGGGTGTCCATTTGGAGGATGTCACCTGCTCATGAATATTAATGAGGGAGGCTGGTCATTGTGGAGTGACGTCACAAGCGTTCAGGACAAGACATCCCTGGGTGATTATAGTAGGTATGTACGAAATGTGGAAAAATGCAAACCAACAAATTATTACATTTCCCCTAGTAGAAGACCCCAAAAACAACAACCGGCGGCACTAACTTCGTTGAGTAGAAGGCGTCGCTCTCCTTCACTTCATTCACAACGGGCTTTGGAGGCTCCTCGTCCTCTCCTTCCTGCTCTTCAGACTCTGTACCAACACCGCATTAGAGTTTTTATATATATAAAAAGAGCCTCACATCCTTATTGCAACAGAACACCATAATCAAAGTCTGCTTTGGCTGTGCAATGTGGTGCCCACACGCACAACCTCCTTACCCTGGGCAAGTGGCTTTTGCACAGACGATGCAGAGAAGCTGAATCCTGGCACCGCTGGTGTAGAACCAAACCCAGCATTTGTGAATGAAAATGTTGGCAGTGCCGGGTTGCCAGTACCAGACGCGGTGCCAAATGGAGCTTTGCCCGAGGTCTTGACAGAACTAAAAGTTGCGCTCCCAGCCAGGGGAGCGGCAGACTTTCCGGAAATCGCAAAAGATGCGGCCGAGCTCTGCCTGCTGTTGCTGGCGGTCGTGGAGCCTGCAGTGGCGTTGGCCGCCTGAAGACCTTGGAAGCTGGGCACCGCGGCCTTTGGTGACTCGGCGTTCCGGGACAGCTTGGCAGCGCCGTCGCTGTCCGAGCCGCTCTCGCCACTGTACTTCTGGTCAATTTCGGCCAGGTGCCTCTCATAGTCACGGAACACGGGGGTGAGGTCGCACAGCGGATTGCCGTTCACGTGCTTCACAATCCAGTCGCGCACCGAGTAGTTCAGCGAACGCAGCTGGTGGTTGTACGTGCCCTTTTCGCTGCCACTGCCGCTCCCGCTGTGGTCACTGTGGCTGCTGCTGTAGGCGAGTGCTGTCGACTGCGAGGCATCCGCTGTGCTGCTCCCGGTTTTTGGCGAACCTTTGCCGGCTGCCTGGGCGAGCGCAGTCTGAGTGCTGGACGACGACAGGGCTGGGCTCTCGCCATTCAAATTCGAAGACGCTACAAGACAGGTCAGCAACACGAGGGTTAGCAGTTTTCACATCCGTGCAAAGTGGTTTAGCGATATTAAGTCAATACAAATCCACAGATTGTTTATTCCTGGCTGAGTTAGGACACGCCAAAGTACGCACCCTGGCTGAAGGGACTGATCTTCGTCTGGGCGCCGCCGCTGGAGTGGAAACTCGACTTTCCGGCTGCACTCATGCTGGGAGTCGTGGGCAGCGCCGATGAGGCAACTGTGCTGCCATTCGCCAGCCCCGCGAGAGGCTTAAATCCACCAAACCCAGAACTCAAGGACCCGAACCCAGATGCGCTGGAGGTCACCAACCCTCCGAAGCCCTTGAAGGTTGTCTTTGCGGACTGCACAAGATAAAACAGCAAACGTTTTTGTTGCAAATTTAAAGTTAAATTCTCGACAGCATATCTTCACAGCTATTGGCATTGGAGAGCTACGAGCATTTGATTAACCACAGTGTTAAATGTGAATGGCATGTGAAGGCATGGAGACATACACACCTCTGATGTATCCCCCCCCACCCTCCGCCGGGCTTTTTTGATGGCTCGGCCTTTCAGAACATCTTCATTTGCGACCGAGAAACTTCCTGCCTATAAACATTAAAACAGTGTTTCACACACAGCAAACTGTAGAAAAATGACACTTGCGGAGTAGCCTTTGATAATAATAATAATCATGGGCATCCCCACGGTGTTAAACAGCAAGAGGCAATTGATATAAGGAAACCACGAGCTTGCTTTTTCCCCAACCACCTGAGGGTGCAAAAAGAAAAAAACCTATTTGGTTAAAAGATATCAAGCACTCCTACCTCTTCCACATCGTCCTCGTCGTTCCAGTTGCGGTCGTTAAGCTCCCTGTCTGCAATCCGTTTTGCCATCACGAGTCACAGCACGCACTGTGCAGGGAAAAAGAAAAGAAAAAAACACGTGACCGATGAAGACGCCTAAGCTGGCTTTTGTTGCCACAGCTCTTACGAGACGACCACGCGTTGATGCTTACTACCTGTGCTGTTTTTTTCCCATCTACGACAAGGAAGCGCAGACTGGGCTAAGTCTGATCCTTGACCTCCATTTGCCAACCAGGTTTAAAAACAAAAAATGCAGTGTGCTCTTTCTTCACAAATGATGTTGGCTGCAATGAAAAAAAAGATGACATTGTGTAAAAACTGACACGTTGCAAACATAAGTGTTATTTAATAAGCTACCTTGGGTGTAATTCTGTAAATATATCCGCAGAAAGTAAATCTTACTCCAAGGCCCAGGGGTCTGCAACCAGCGGCACCGGGGCCACGTGCGGCTCTTTAACGACTGCTTCGTGACGTTATTTATTAAGGAGCACTGTCTCGTAAAACTTCTTCTTGTTATTTTGGTTGCTGACCCCTTCCCAAGGCCATGCTTATATTGTGAATAAGTGACCACATGAAAATATAAGATTATAAGATTGGGCAGACACATTTATTTGTTTCCACAACAGCATTTACAATGCAACAACTTCAGTTTCTGCAGGTCCCGATATCCGAGCTGACTTGCCTGCTTTCTCATTATTTCATGATACAAGGGCAATTCACACAAAGACCACTGTTCCACAACACAACAGTGATTGTACCTGTACTTGTGTATTTATATATAATATATGCAGCCATTTAAACGAATCCAACATCCCACAACCTGAAATAATCAGAAAACCTAACACTAGCCAATTTCACCTCTTCAACCTGGCCAAACACCAGAACCCTTACCTGACACAAACTTTACAAGACGCAACGTTACCAGCTTCACAACCAAAACCTGACACACCAAACACTCCTTGATCCAAAATAATCCCACAATGCCTACCACAACTCCACCAGACCGACCACATCCTTACCGTACCTACCACTACCGAACTTAAGCCTTGCCACAACCAAACCACTAAATTACAACACAAACAGGCCCCAGACCAATGCAGACTTAAAGAAAAAAAACTCACCACATACAACCAAAACCATACCCTAAAAACCCAATCCGGCCTGAAAAACCCCATCAGATACAAAACATTTCAGAACAAAGACAACCTAACCAGGCTCAACTTGACTAAGGCCACCCACACCAAATGTAACCGACGGGACTCAAACCATAACCCAGACCCAACCAAGACCGAAAACTAACCCCTGTAACCTAGTCCAAATATTCACTCACCCACCATTACAGCTCATGCCAATCCAGACAAACCCTAAATCAAGCACTCACCCTAAACGTGCCCCTTAACCACCCAATCGGTAAGTTTAAGATAAAAACATTTTATTTGTTACACGGATGATCCCGTTTAGCCATTTGCCGGCATATTTTACACGGGAGATCCGTAATGCGTGAGCAGAGCAGCAACAAAAACATCAATCTCGCACACGACGAAATGAATATCGCACGAGGTTTTTAACGGTCGTATACGAAGATCCAAACCGCAATCCATGGCTCGCCCAATCCTTAACCCAGAACAAATTCTAACCAAACCAAAATCAGGCTAGTTAATCCTGACCCAAACCGGCCCTTAACCCAAATCAATATAGCCCCGAACAAAATCCTTAACCATGTGCTAACCCAAACTAATACAGCCATACCCCGGAAGCAATCCTTTCCAGTTTAAACCAAAACCCATTAACGGTACAAATTGCCCAATCAAATCTTACACCACCCCTAAACCCTACCCTCAAACCCTACTCTGGCCGATCCCCCAAGCCAATTTCGCAACCCTTAAAATAAAAACCCCAGCCCATAACCTTACCCTAAAATCCAACCCCTATATAACCCCCCACCCACCCCCTCAAACCGATCCCGTTAACTGAAGCGAACCGGGCGCGGCTCTCAGGCAACGCGGGGGGCTTCATTTTTCTCGCGGGGCCTAGCCCAGGCCCGAGCCGCACGTGAACCGCGGGAACGTACCCAGGCGGCGTCTCTCTCTCGTGTCACTCACCCCCTCTCTCCTCCTCTATCGCACACGCGAGAAGCCGCGACGCGAGTCTCGAAAGCGTCGGGCTGAGAAAGCCGCCGCCGTTTCCTCCGCCTCGACTCGGCAAATCGCGCGCGGCGACCGCCAAAAAATTCGCCGACCACCACCACGCACCAGGCGGCAAATGCCGGGTGACGTCATAGCGGCGTGACGTCACACGACGCGTGCCGGTATATGACGTCATGTGCACGTAGCCGTGCTGTGGTTAGCGCGCCGTGCTACGAACCCGGCGGGCCTCGGGGTCGATCCCCCCCCCCACAACACCGGCGACGATTATCTAGAACCGGCCATGGGTCTTCCCGAGGTCAACTCAGCCTTAAAATGAGTACTTGGTGCGATGTGTAAAAACATCGCACACCAAGGGGGGGGGGGGGGGAGACAAAGGCGGCCGGGCGTGGTTGTTTGCCACCCAACCCCCCGTCGTTAACCGTCGCCGGCCTTCATAGGTGCTACTCGCCAGCAGCAAACTTTCCCCGGCAGTCTGATTAACCTGCACGCTGGGACAGGGGGATGTTTTGTCACGTTACGTGCGGCGCTAATTACGTCACGTCGTGATTGCGTGCCGTCAAAACGTCGCGGGCGGGCGTCGTGACGTCATGTAACGGTACGCGACGCCGTGATGCGATGATGTCATTGCACGTAACGTTGATTTTTTTTATCTCTTAACGTTACATTATTATTGTTCTTACTTTGTTAACCTTCTCAGGTCGGCTTTGGGTGGGGGGATTTAGCTTTGTTCGCTTTTTGAGCCGATTGCTTGAAATTCCACGTTCACATGACGGGGCCATGTAGGAGGAGTTTGTATATCTGTCAATCCATTAGGTTGACTCCGTATTATTGTGCAGGGAAATTGAGTTTTCAGGTCCATACGACGTAACAGCTGTTTCAATACGAGCCAAACATTTTATTTTGTCTGTTTGTGTTTATCCCCTTGTGATTGGGACTTTGTAGGATGAACAGTTGAAATGTTTTAGGGCACGAGGTGACCAATAAGATTTGAATTAGTCTGTAATAAGCTAGGCATTTTTTGATTTAAAGCTTTCGTGACTGTAGGGATTCATATTCTTGGTTCTTTCGGTAAAGTCACGTCGTGAGAATTGTTATTGTTTTATATTTATATTATTTTATTATTTCCCTTCTACGTGACTTTACCGAAAGAACCAAGAATATAAGCTAGGCATTGATAAGGGGTTGACATGTGTGGAGTTGCCGTCTTTTTCCAATGCAGAACAACAAAAAACCCAGCCAAATATTTCTCGGTCTATTATCAAATCTGTGCAGCGACGTTGAGTGTACTAAAGTTCACCACAACACCGGTGGCTACTGGATCTCGATACAGGATTTGGGTTTGTTAAGCGACAAAAGTCAGCAAAAGCAAAATCGGTACCCGTTCCCCGTGGATTGCTAAATAATTTATGCAGTACATTTGCAAAGAGCGGGGGGCGAACAAACGGCACGGCGAGTGCGGCTTTTGATTGGGAAAGTTAAGGTCAAAGGGTAATTGTGCAGCCACAACAGGTGGGTGGCAGGGCCTCCAGTAGAGGGCGCTGTAGAGGGCACGGTAACTTGTACTATTAGGTTTTTTCGGTAAAGTCACGTAGGTAAAAATAAAAATAAATAATAAATATGGACATAGAAATAAAATAATAAATCACGACGTTTCGGAGGCAACACAAGTCTCCGTCATCAGGTGGGACCGTCACAGCTAAATTTACTGTGACTTTACCGAAAAAACCTAAGAGTATGAATCCTTGCAGTCACGAAAGCTTCAAATCTAGAACGGTAACTTGTGTTTATCAACTCTTCACCCCAATACTGATGAGACGAATTGACTGTGGGTCGTGATTCAACACACACACACGCTGTACCCCCCTCCCACCACATGTGCGACCTGCCCGTCCGTCTACTGTGACGGACCCATTGATACTGTTGGGCGAAAAAAAAAAAGACATGTCCTTAAGCGTAACAAACCGGTAACCGCTTTCTTGCTTGAGGTTACCAGGATTTCAGCCGAACACAGATGGCCAATTCCCGGACTATGCGGATCAAATTCGGGTCAAACCGGGACAGGTAACACACAAGGCCATAAATATCCTCAACCGCAAACAGCTGATATGTCCAACACTGAACTGTATTCATTGGAAATTCTACGTGGCTTTGGTAAATTTCGATTCCCTTTTAAACAAAATCGCGATTGACTTAGAAATCTTGAGCCGAGACAATCCTGAATAGAACTTCTTTATCTTACCCAGTGGTGTGGAAATGACACGTTCTTAAGACGCGCCCAGTCTATCCTGAACATGCAATGGGATTCAGAAACTTATGAAAAGCTTTCACTTATCGACTAAAATCGATACACTCGTGATATATGACAGCAATTTCGACTCGTACACATTATTTTCATGTTGGCCCATGCTTCGTTACTAAAGAGCCACAAACGAGGCAGAGTATATGAGCTAAACACTAAATATACAAAGAATTAGGCACACTTCGGGCCAACAAGACGACAAAAAATTACAGATTCTTTAAAAGCATCGTAACCTCGAATCGTGACAATCGAATTCGTGAGGGTGGAATTTTGGGTTAGTTACGTATGTGCAATACTTGTTACTATAAGCAGGGTTTAATATCAGCCAACAGGAGCCGTCCAGGGCCGAGTTCCGGATAATACCCTCAGGTTTTGGGATGTTATGTGTAAAAGTAGTGAATGTAAACCATGCGTTGGTCACTCATTTTACTCAATAGCGCCCTCGGTTAAAACAGCTGTGTGCAACATCTGAGCCATGTTGAATTCTAGGCACCACGTACAATAGGTTCCAGTACATTTATACGAACATTCATCATCATCATCAGCAGCAGCCACGGTCGATCCACTGCTGGATGACCTCCCCAAGCCGTCACCATCTCTCACGGTTGTGCAATGTATGAAAGACAAAGATCCCCCGTATTGTAGCCTTCATCGGACTGTTGGGGCTAAGCACGTGGGTTGCCAATATCACGCCCGACCGCCTTTGTCTCCCCAGTGCTGATGTTCACACACCACACCAGGTACTCATTTAAGGCTGAGTCGACCAATGGTTAAGCCCTGAGCCGGTTGAGATATTCGTCATCAATGTTGATCGTGAGCGGGAAATCGAACTTTGGTTGGGGGTTATAAGTGCAGTGTTCCTAACCATTGCGCCACCGATTCAAACTGGACAAATATAATACTATCGGTTATATTGGTACTGTGTCTTATGCGTTTAAGCATTCGATGTGATCCTTCGATCTAAGAGCATTGATTGGATTATTTTGCATTTTCGACAGAAGTGGCTGGAGGGCCTATTTGTGGCCACAGGGATTACGTCCTATTTTAGAGCTACACAGAACATTACAATTAACGGTGTTAATTGCTCCTGCGGAATGCGGGTAACGTTGAAATGTCCACACAGACGGGTTCATGAACCCCACGTGGTGTATTAACCACCATCTCCGGAGTCACCTTGACAGCCCAGCGGGTGTGGTCGTGTCACAAATGTGCATGTGATCCACCTCCCCCTTGCCTCCAAAGCTTTAAATAAATAACAATCCACTGCTGGATGATGGGACCTCCCCTTCCCCTCCAAAGAAGTAACAATCTCTCACGGTCCTGCGATGTATCATCAATCTGGGTCTAATTGTTCCGCTCCATCTCCCCGGTTGACGTGCTCTAAGGGGCTACTAACTGACGTTAGTTTTGACCATCACCACCACCATCATCGTCGTCTCTTCCTGGCCGTCATGCAGCCCCACTCACTTTGCTTAACGGAACTTTACAGGCAAGCCCCGATGAAAATAAACAAAATGACAATCGGTTCAGCACCTTTAAAGTGTGATTTCGTATCTCAAATATAACGCGTATTCAATTATTATAGAGCGCACGCGTACTTATTAATTTGAGTGAGTGTATTTTTTTCCTTTCTCTCTGTGCCGTTGGGTGATGTCTGCATGCACTGTGTTCGTCCTTGGTGATGGCTCACAACAAGCCCTTTTTATTATATTCACAATGCCACGGTGTGGGAAGCAGTGTAGCGGTGGCGCAGTCGTTTAGCGGCCCAATTTCGGTGGGCGAGTCGTAACATCTGAACCAAATCATGGACCGATGTCCACCAGATGTCTCGCCGGCGTGGTCAAAGTTGTTTGACTTGCATCCCACTGGGATTTTTGCACACAGCGTTGGTGTACGGTGCTTTTTGTGGAATATTTTGCTGTCTTTTCCTGGATTTTCTGTTTGCACATAGTCACATAGTTACTTTAAGATGTTTTCTTGTTCATGTTTTTGTTTCATGTTTTTGTTAGTTGCGGTTGCACCCGATTCAAGAGCCGAATAGCTCACAGGGCTATACCTAATCAATGAAACTGAAAGTATGGTCGAACGAACTGGCTGCCACGGGACGGCCAAAGCGAACCTTCAAATCAAGTCGTCCAAGCAAAGTGTACCGTGGAACCCAGAGGCCGGTGTCTGTAGCGTGTCGTGAATGTAAGCGGCCTCTAGTTGCTGCGATGTAACACGAACCTATTGCTGGTACATGCACCGCATACGAATCAGAATATCGATTCGATGCATCGTGAGCCTGGAACGTCGACATTCATCGCTGTTAACAATAGTAATTCAATTTTGATTTCAAGCTTTCGTGACTGCAGGGATTCATATTATTGGTTCTTTGGTAAAGTCACGTAGAAGGGAAATAATAAAATAATAAAAATATTAAGCAATGAAAATTCTCACGACGTTTCGACTGCAACACAAGCAATCTTCATCAGGTGTGAAATCCACAGCAAGAAATTTTGAAAAAAGTGGTGCTGACGTTAGAAAAAATGCCACTTTTTTCAAATGTTCTTGCTGTGGATTTCACACCTGATGACGATTGCTTGTGTTGCAGTCGTAACGTCGTGAGAATTTTCATTGTTAAATATTTTTATTATTTTATTATTTCCCTTCTACGTGACTTTACCGAAAGAACCAGGAATAATAGTAATTCAGTTAGCCAAAGCTGACAGGTTGAGCTTATACCCCCACTTACACACCTATGAAAATGTAATTTAAACTGCGATAATGGGTGTGTCATGTTCAATTATCTCTCGCCGTGTTTTGTGACGTTAAATATTGTTATTTGGACGTAATTACTGCTATATTTATCCATGGGGCGCCACTGGTTGTAATGTTACGCACGCTGTTTTACCTGTAAGTTCTAGCCCCTGTGTTCAAAATTTCAATGACTTGAGTAGGTAAATCTATGACCTTACTTTCCTTGTGTGGAACACAATGTGCAATGTGACGTGTAATATTTATATAACATGTATAACATCAGTCACTGTCAATACACTGCTGGATTAAGACCTCCCCAGACCACTACCATCATCTTTATTATCTCAAACACCTGCGCCACATCAGTCCGATGTCCTTGCTCCGTTATAATAAAATCAAGTTAAATGTAAAAAATCCACTCTTGCAGGCAGTAATTTGCGCTAACAATACAACTGCATACATTTATTTACAGGCTAAAATATCTGAATATTTATTGGTACCGGAGGAATCCGAAGAGCTATAAAGCTCTTTTGCACGTGTCCGGTCGAGGTGGGTCGGTAGTGGGCGCTAACTGTTGTACTGTGATCCTCTTACAGATTATACCACTATTATTAATGGTATTAAACCATTGTTTAAAACAAGTATAGCAGGAGAAAATGTATAAAGTGATGTGCAAGTTATGCACGGGTACTCTATAGTAGTTTAAAAATAAATATTCCTATATATTGGTGTGGGCGGCCTTCATCTTGTAGTGGATTAACACAAGGGTAAGTTGCATGTACTATACACATAATACACCGGTACAGTGGGAAAATTAACAAAATATTGATTTGTTCATACAATATACCAGGCTATGAGCGGATTAAATGTGTAAACACTTATAATAGCCCAATGGCAGTCTGCCTAAACACCTACAGTTGTTTTCCTCGGCGATATTAAACAAAAATAACCATTTGCTGCGCATTATTAACCCTCTTTAATTGAGCAACAACCCTGGCAGCTAATAGATTGTATTGCAAATCCAGCACTGTACTTGAGCCTGATATGTTTATGACATTTACATCGGTGTAGCTAGTCAGCAAAAACATGACTCAAGACGTAGACACACGCAACACACCACTAAATGATGTATTAAATGCACAACTGGACATTGACGTCTAAGTGGAGTCATTGCTCACAACAGTAGAGTACTTGGTTTAACAGTACTGTATAAACTTTGGACCGAAACTCCATTGGTGGTGGTGGAAAAGAAAACACAAGCTTCTGTCTGCTACATCACTGTGACCTGTAAGTGCACAGCCATCAGACAGAAGCAACTCTGTAAGCTGAAGCCAATGGGTCAAGCTCAGCACCCCCCCCCCCACCCCCGGGGTGTTATGACGTCATTACGCAAGAGTCGCCTAAAAAACGACGCGGCCTTTGTATCCACGATGACGTCACTTCACGACGTCACACCGACGTGACGTCACACGGAGTAACATTTGCAATTTAAATGTAAAAAAAAATTATACTTCAAAATAAATAAAAACACAACGCAGCCATTTAAAACGCGTTAAAATCAACAACGCAGGCAGTTACAACTACACGTGTTTTAAGTTTGTGTGAGGGGCACCTAAAAGGCGTTTGCCGAAATATCTTTTGCTCAAAACCGAGCACTTGTTACGTAATTGTTTTATTATTATCAATACCGCAGTACGGGTGGCAATAGTTAAGTTGTGCCCAGAGTCAATGGGGGGGGGGGTGACAAGAGACCCTGCACTACGTGGGGGCCTCTTTCCTCACCCCCCCCCCCCGCAACAACGCGGAGGGAGAGGGGGGGGGTGAGGGGCCCAGCCCACCCGGGCCACACGTGTGGACCCCCCCCCCCTCCTCATACTTCAACCCCCCCACCCACATCACTCTACCCCCCCCCATTCCCCGCCGCGCTCGCTGTCTCTGCGGCGAGAAAGAAGGCGACCAACTCTTTGCCTCGCGTTCTCGTGGCTCTCGCGAAGCGAAGGGGGCGCCGAGTTTGCCATTTTAAAGCGGGTACTTTTTGGCGAGCGCGTAGTAAAGTAGTGCGCGGGGGGAGGGGGGTGAGGGGTGATGGAGGGGGGGGCGGAGGGGGAGGAGTCGCGAGCAGGCCCTACATCCGGGTACTTTCCTTAGGCAATGCCGGCCGCACCACACCTATTCCTTAGACAAAGTGAAATAAATTCGCCGTCAATGGAGAAAACGTAGTCCGTCCCACCACCCCTTTACTCCCCACTCACATTTTTTTTACTTGTGAACATTTGTTTCTTTTTTTTAATCGCGTGGATCGCTAGTCCGGCAAGCCGTCTGTTTTACGTGTGTTGGAGAAGGAGGAGGAGAAGAGGGGGGGGGGAGTGAAGAGGATATTTTTTTTGGTAAGCAGCGCTTGTTTTGGGAAGCGTGGTTGAAGGGGGGAGCTTTGCTTTTCTAAGTTTTTTTTTCCTCTCTGTGTGTTGTGTTTTGTCGGTCCGCGCCGTAAAGTGTGTGATGAGTCCCGAGCAAAGCAAGCGGGCAGCAGCAGCAGCAGCTGTGGCTGAGCGAGTGAAGAAGATAACTTAGCGATTGTTCACTCCACTCTAGTGGGGGCCCTGCACTTTTAATGTACTTTTCTCTCTTCTCTTCTGCTGCTGCTGCTTCTTCTTGGCCTCGTTCGTGCTCTGGGCGGATCCCCCCAACAAAGTCGCCGGCATGGAGCTGTCGGCTCTTCAGGAGGCGCTCAAGAAGGAAATCCAGTGCCATCAGGTAGGGGTGGGACTTCTTGGAGGTGGATGGAGGGGGGGTAAAGGAGGTGGTGTGGATTTTTTGGTGGTTGTTGTTGGTGGTTGGTGGTGGTGGTGGTAGGGGGGTATTTTTTATTGTTATTTATTTTTGTTTTATTTTATTTCTTATTTTTTTTACGTCCTTTTCACACCCTCCTCCCCCCTCCTCCTAAATGGTTTCGGGTTTGGATGGTTTCGTTGGGCTCGTACTGTCGCTGCGAACAATATTATATTGTAGATGTGTTTTTGAACACACAACCATGATTAGATGATTTAGAGGAACTACTTAAAATAATAATTTAAATTAATTTGGATGAAATAATAGTTTACATTCACGACATATATTGTTAACTAGTCGGATTTCTCAAAATAGTACGAAGACTGAATACGTAATTTGTTAAACTATTTAAATGATAACAGATTCGCGGTGACCCTATGCCCCCCCCCCACCACCCCCACAGTACAACTCTGGATATTTTCTCCTCTTAACCTCACGTAGGCCAACATTTCCCCTCTCATCACGGGATTTAGAGGATGGGGAAGGGGAGAATGTTAGGTTATTGGGTTAGAGGGTTAAGATAACGATAGTGGTCACCACGACTATCACGGCATTGCCCCCCTCTCTCTTCCATCATCATCGTCGTTGTTGTCATTTTCCCCCTACAAAGTTGTTGCTGTTATCCCCCTCTTCTTCTCTCTTTCTCTTGCCAACACCAACACCACCACCACTTTTTATTTGGCCGAGCAGAGCGAGCGAGGCCCTGCAAAAGGCGCCAGGGTTGGTGGGGGGGACGCATGGCTCGGCCTTGGCCCAGGAAGTGTTAAACTTGCACAATGTGGCAGGCAGCAAATCGAGATACAATATACTATAGTTGATACTCGTACAACATTATAAACCACGATTGTTATACGCGAGGTGAGAAATACATGTTAGTTTTAGATTTAGTTGATGGGCGGCGGTGATTGCTTGGTGTTTCTGTTCCCTTTTTGACGATACAAATTGTTAATTTTCTTATTTTTGGGGGGGTATTGTATTACAATAATGTTGGCACGTGTGGCTTGTAGTTGGATTAATTTGATGGTGGTGGTTGTTGTTGCTGCTGTTGGGTTGCAACATTAATATATGTGGTGCTGCATTGTGTGGCGATCATTTACGTTGGTTATTGTGAATTTTGGTTGTGAATTGTGGTTGTGAATTGTTGCGAATTGTGGTTGTGATCGTACCTCGGTGATTGGCCTTTGCGTGTTACTCTTTTTGTTTGATAAACTTGACGTTAGTTGAGACCACGGGCGTTTGTGTGAATAGCAATGGTAAATGGTTTTGGGTGTTGTGTCGATATGCAATATCTTCCCTCCCCTTTCGTGAGATCGCGTTTGTGTCTCTTGCTTTGTAATGCGTGTTGCACCACAGTAGCGAGCGTCGTTGAATAATCCATACTGTAGGCCCCAGGCGCCCGAGGCTTCCTTGTTGTTAAACATGCTTCTCAAAGCGGGGCAGCCCATTCTCTTACCTTGTTCACACTTAATTTCATTTCTGCTACTTTGATGGAGGAAGGAAGACGGGGGGGGGGGGGTGGGGGAGAGGCTTGTATCTTATATTTAGGGTAGGGGCAAGTGATTTGGTTGCTTTGCAGTGTCCCTCTCTCTCACACTGCTGTGTTAAGAAGTACAGCGGTTACAGGCCACCATATATACACTCCATACCGTGTGTGTGTGTCTTTCAGAAACTTGTTGTGCAGATGAAGCAAGACCCCCAGGTACGATGACCAAACCATTTCCCATACTTGTGTGCGCCCACGTGTCCACATGCGAGAAGGGCGGGTCTTTAAAGAAGAAGAAGGGAAAAAAAAACACCCCATGCTCTCTCCCCAGCCGTAGGTGTGGCTCAGCTAATACCGATTGTTCCTGGGCTGTCCTTGTGGCCAGTGGTGGTGCCATTCCACCTGGCCCCCCGCCCCAAGCCTCTGTCTTTAGGCTCTATCCTCAGAGCCTTTGCCCGGGTATCGCTTGTTTCTCACCCAATGACCACGTGTCCCCCTCCCTCCCCCCAGAATCACGCTTTTTTGTGTATTTATAGCAAGTGCACTTTTTTGACTAAATGGGTTGCCCATGCGTTTGGCCTGTACAGCATTAGAAATATAATTTGTGTCGTGGCAGTAATGTTTATAAAACGGAGGTGATGTTTTTTTTCTCTCTTTTTAACGGTGTTTTTTTTTTACTTTTCAGAATGCAGAATTGAAGAAGCAGCTCCATGAATGCCAGGCTAAAATAACTTCGCTCAGTGAAAAGCAAGTGAGTAACTGCGAGTGTCCACTATCTTTACAGAGGCTTGCATTCATACCAGTGTTTTTTTTGTGGGTTCTTAAAATGACAACTTTTTGTGAATATTAAAAAAGAAATAATCCTCGTTCGGATAACGGGCCTCTAAAGCATTTTAAAAAAATGCAAAGCAGTTAATATGAGCAGCTCCAAAAGAGAGCAGGGGGGGGGGGGTCTGTACATTTGCAGGTGCCCTTTGTTAGATTTGGAGTTGTTTTTATAAAAAGAAATAGGCAAAGATAATGGACTCGGAATGCTGCACCTGCTACTTACAGATTGCATGCAGCCCATGAGATGAAATGCCAATCCTGGAAAAAATCAAAATGGTGCCTTAAGCACCTTTCATGGTAAATCTGGAACCGGAACATTTGATTCTTAGATGTTTGCTTTTCTGTGGGGGTCTATTTTTGTTGTTAAGTCTGGGAGTTTATTGTTAAGCTGTGTGTTGTGATCTTCCGTCTTAACGTATTGTTAGGAATGATTATTTTAGTGTCCGCTAAAGCGGCTGTATTCTGCCTGCCGTACGTGTTATCAAAGTTAACTTTTGTTTGATATTGTGTCACTTTAATCGTGACATCAAACCTCATTTTACATGATAGGCACACGAATGTTGCGTGTTGTTTTAGTCAAAGAAATCTATTACCTTTTTTGATATGCGGTGATGATTACAAAACATGACGTCAACACATTAGTTCGCATTGAAAACAATATTTGTGTAAACAATCGTACGTTGTATAAATCGGGCATTGTTGTGAATTTTGTCACGGAGCGAAAGGTAAGGATGAACCGAGAAAGATCATGGATGGTAATGGAGAGAAAATTGCAACTTTATGGGAGCTGTGCATTCGCTGGAACTAAAGCTGACCAATAATAGTAGGTTTTTACCCTTTTAACTGGTACAAAACTGACACCTTTATTTGTACCAGTTAAAAGGGTAAAAACCTACTATTATATTTTGCCACTGGTAAAAGAGATCTCATAGTGTAAAGCTGACCAGCTGAGCAAACACAAGTACTCTTTACTTGATGGGTTTTTGCGTGATTTGAAAATTGTTAATATTGATATTGAAGTTATTTTAATAGGAACTTTATTGGAGAGAAAAAAACCAGGCCAGTTGAAGTAAACTATAATATGTCTTTTTTGAATACTGTACAAGAACATGCCCACTTGCACGAGACAACACAACGCTCTTTGACACATGCCCATTGCTGTTGTAAGCTTACAGAAATAAAGAAAATGGTATTTGTAGCAAAAAAAAATCTATTAAATCTAAAGTTGAAACAAGAGTAGATCACACATGTTTAAAAATGCATAAGTGCACTGCACTTCTGGATAAGCTGTATGTAGATCAGGGCAAAACGGGTCAGAACTGCACTTTTAACATTTAAATTTGACATCCTTTTTATTTTTGAGACGGTACCTCAAGTTGTTGGGGTTTTTAGAACTGTACCACTCTGCGTTTATTGCAACATTGCGTTGGTACGGTGCCCGTTGTACCTGATTGTCACGAAGCAACGTTGAGGGTATGGGCCTGGGCAAAGGGCTGGCTGTGATTGTCCACATCCTCCTCTGCTTGCGTGACTTATGGTTCTTAGGCGCATCTCCGATTTCGTAATTGAGTGCACTGCATTCACTCCGTTATTTTGGTGTGCATAGCAAAACATTTACAAATATAACACGCTAAATTATCAGATTTGTTCGCACTTTGTTTCGAATGGTATCCGTGTATTGGGGAAGTAATATTCGGATCCTTTGAATGGTTTGCCGCCAGTACTGCATTAACTATCTATCTTTAAAAATAAATGTTATGGATCTAAAACTGAAAAAAACATCAGATTTTTGTAATGTTGTTAATGTTTTTTAATACAGTTACACGTGCCAGCTTCTGCAAATTTAGACAGAAGGATGTTTCCAGATGAGACACCAACCTCACACTTGAGTTAAACAAAATGGGTCTAAATGTTGAATTTCACATTGAATAACAGGCACGCTCCTTTTAAAGCAGGTGACTGATAGAATATTTTAAACGTAATACAGTGCCATACATGCTTAAACAGGAGCTGCTGTCATGGATTGAGCCAATTTCTCTTTAAACACCGCAAGTATAAATTGTTGCGGTATTAAATTATAACGGGTTGTTTGCTGTTCTGGCGGAATTACACGTTTTGGGTTATTTTAGATATGTCCAGGCATATTTTCTCCTTGAGCGGTAACAAAGATGTTCCACAATGGAATTTATGCTTTGTGATATTCGTGGCCACACTGATTTTTTGTTGTTGTTCCAGCAGAAATTGATTATTTAAGTACGTTGCCTGATACAAGAAATGTGTTTTTCAAACCGCTTCATTCTACAATATCTTCACATATCAAAAAAAAAAGTTTGAAAATGTACAGCTCCATTTTTTTTCCCCCGTAAAAAAAAAAATCATTCTTATCCATAGGTACGGTTGGTTCAAGTAGCGTATGGGGAGCCGACAAAAAGAGAACGCAGTGTGAATGCGATGGGTACACGCTTAAGCTACTCTGTCGCTGCACATATTTGAGAACAAAGTGTTTTGCCTGGACATGCGTATCTCGCCACCACTGTATTAAAAAAAAAGGCAAGTAGGCTAGGCTTGAATTACAGTGCATCGATGCAGCTCGGTGTGAATTTTCAGTAGCGCGATGAAGGTTTATGCATCCCTCTGCAATGGTCAGGGGGTTCCCTCCCACTGAGCAATTGGATGGCGAGTGGAGGAGGAGGAGGAGAGGGTTTGAATCTTTTTTTATTTCCATGCGGTTCTTTAACAGGGCCTCGTGTGTTTTTTTTTCACTTCCACCCAAAACAAATTCCCCGTCGTGCTTTGCAATAGTTTTTTTTTTTTGCGCAGCGCAAGCCCGAGGTGCAAGACGGTCGCAGATAAAAAGTGACTTTGGTTTCAAAGTCTCGTGCACTGTACTGATGTGAGATGATTTATGCAGGATTTTGGTGGGGGGTGGGTGGGTGTCGTGAACGTAGAGAGAGAGATAAAAATCTTTCTCTCGATTCCGCCCTGGTGCTATTTGTTTCGTTACTGTTTATTTCTCAGCTTTTTTTTTTTTACAAAAAAATATTTGTTGCTTTTTATAGTGCAATACTACAGGTGCCTCGCCGTCAGTTCATTTTTTTTTTGATAAAACACTTCTTGACAATGGTGGTTGAGAAGACTACGCAAAATGGCTGACCGCCATCTATTAGTGATGGGCTTTTTTGAAGGCTTGACAAAAAAACACACACCCAGTGGCATTTAAAACTTTTCTATTAGTTGCTGCTTTTGATGAGCGACATTTATTTTGGATGGTTACATCGTGTGCTTACTTTTGCGGACTTGGTTGTGCAATATTTTCTTGTAGTGTACGGGCGAGCAAATCTTTCACAGCGTAGTGCTGTATTTTTTGTGTTTATTTTCACACTTCACTTGGATCAAAGGGATGGCATTCCTCGAGTCCAGTGAATTAAGGAGAGAGCCGTGACATTTTTTTCTCTTTAATTGGAAAATCCACTTGCATTGCAAGCGGTGTGAGTTTATGGTATACATATTTTTTTAGCCCAAATGATGCCTTCCTTTTCATCTCTATCCACATTCACCACGTGTGTGCTCCCCGCGTTATCAAGAAAAGTGTTGCCACTGCCTCCTCTTGTTGTTGTTGTACATCGTCTTGTGGAAGAATTTTCAGCTGCTGCTGCTGCTGTTTCGAGTTGCAACCACCGTGTCCGCCGTTGGTGGTGGCTGCGCTGGCTCGGAATTAATCGATAGCGATTGGCTTTCAGAACGTATAAACGGGGGCAGAGAGAGAGAGGAGAGGGGGGCAACTGCGTGGCAGTAGTAGCAGAGGCCCACGCACACTCTCCTACACACGTGCCTCTTCGTCGGGTTTACTGTATTACACCACCACCACCACAGAGTATGCGCACACGTAAGCACACACACACGTTACACACGTAGCACACACACACGTAACGCATGTACCACACACACGTAGCACACAAGCACACGTAACACACGTAACGCATGTACCACACACACGTAACACACGTAGCACACACACACGTAACACGTAGCACACACACGTAGCACACACACGGAACGCACGTAGCACACACACACGTAGCACACGTAACGCATGTAACACACGTAACGCATGTAGCACACACACGTACACACACGGTGTATAAATTGGAACTTTACAGCTCTGTAGGCCACATCGGCTTCCTTTGCAGGGTTTTGATGGTAGGGGCAGGACGAGCAGTGGGTTGGGTGCGTGGGTTGGTGGCTTTGTGCACTTGGGGGTAGTTGCGTGCCCTTATTTTTTTTGGTAAGGGGAAACAAAAAATATTAACGCCATACTTTCTGGTCAATTGTAGTTGGTGGTCAGTCTCGGCTGACGATTAAGTTCTTGTGTATGTGAAAACGATGCGACTGATGGGGGTGGTGGGAGAGGGGGTCTTCGTGAATAATTTATAACATTAACATTTTGTGGATAGACGTTGTTTATGATCATGAACCCGTGGTGGCTACTCGATGCCCGTAATTCCCGCATTTTCTACATCCGTTTTCCCTTCTTTGCCGGGATTTCTCAACGAAACTTTTACACCAGACGTTTCGGCTGTCAGACGAACATCCTTGCTTTTGTTGTGTTTCTTCCAAACCATATTCCTCTTCCCCGTACCACACGAATTACCTCGGGCCGCAGCGTCCCAACACGAACTGCTGACTCATCAGAGGGTTATTTACATTCGGAACGTGGCAAGGTCTACGCGGGGTGTTTTATTTTTCTTGCCGAATGTCACAGATGTTGTATGGAAAGTAGAGCACTCATTTGGGAAGAGGCCTGGCGATCAAACCATTGGCGCATCCCCATAACACATGGAGCATGACAGTCGAGAAGGGCCTTTGTTGGGTAGGGTGGTAGGGTAGGGGTGGTGGGGGGACGGTGGTGGTGGTGGTGCTTGG